TCCTCAGCCATGGCCCACCTGGGCTCACCAGCAGCTTCGGGATGGTTTGCCAGCAGAACTCTCAGCCTGCCAGGAGCACAGCACATTTCATCACAGCACCTCTCGTGACCTGACAGCTGCTATAGGATTCCATTTCCCCAGGTGGTAGGACATGGGTCTAGGGACCGAGGAGTAGAAGTTTGTCTCTCCCCGTTGGCCCCAGTACATTTCTGGGTATTTAAGCCTTCCATCCCAACAAGTCAAGTCCAGAAATCTAACAGTCCTAGTTCTAGATGTCTCCACAGGGGACTTGCGGTAATGCCACATCATTTCGAGCTTCTTCTGCCAGGAGACCAGGGAGAGTTGCTGCTGCGTGAAAAAGCAAAGGGTAGCACATGGAGCTCACAAGAATCACTGTGCACTTCTGTGATTCCATGCATACAGTCAGGTGTAACTAGACTGTCACAGACAATGTGGTCTAGAGAGGCGACTGGGGGATCAGGCTTCTTAGGAATGAAGATCTTGGTCACCCAAACAAGCAAGTTAGACTTGTGCAAGTGCTGAGTGGGTGTGAGAGACCCGAGCAGTGATGCTAGAAGGAGGCAGTGAAGGTCTAGAACGTCTTGGCCTGGCAGCCCTCAGACCAGCTGCAGCAGCAGCGTTGCGGTTACAGCTGCCCATGACTCGCAGCCCTGGTGCTTTGCCTCTCGGGTTTTCCTATGCACAACAGCTCACTGTGCAGCTGTGAGGAGCGTGGGTATGCTGGAGGAGAGTGCCAGCTGATCCTTGGGTTCTTGGGGTGGCCCCAAGTCGAAGCCCATGGGGCTCAGCCACTTCCATCCACTGTGGGACTCCTCACATGGGTTCCATTTGCTCCAGAGCTCCTCGGTGGGCTGGCAGAAACTGTCAGGATGGCACTGTGGTCTTCCAGCTTCCCTGTGCAGAGTTCTACATATTTTGAATTCCTATGTCCCTCAGCATCTCCTTCCTAGACAGTTCCATGGTACTGCCACCACTGCACATCAGTGGCAGTGGAGTCCATATGACCCTGAGGGTGGGCAGCAGTCTGATGTGTGAGGGCCTCCGCTCTAGCCCACCTGGAACATATTGGCCCCTCCTGGTAAGAGGTGGTGGTTATCACGAGGATAGGGACCCACACTGACATAGCCTCGTGTTTTTTGGTACCGAGCATGGGTCCTGTGGGTGCCTGTCTGAGTCCTGCCCATTCCGTGAGTCTCAGTCATTAGGCTCCTTCTCAAAGTTTGAATCCGACACTGCATCAGGCTTCCAAAGTGTTTCATGAGAGAATCAACATCCAAAATAAGAATGTGTATGTCTCCACATCAGAAAAGCTGGGCATACTTCTTCTTAAGAAGTGAGAGGTTTTAGGTACGTGAAGATATTGCCACTCTCTCAGCATCACGCACGTGACCACATTCTAGACTCACTAATTAAGAACATAGGGGAGAAAGGTCACGTTCCACAAGTGAATTGAGTGGCAGTAGCCACAGGTGAAGCCTTTCTAGACATTCTGTAGAGACATGACTTGGACCCTTTTTATGGCCGTCCTTGTCCATCTCTGGTCAAGAAAACCGACTGTGCCTGCCTTTGCTGACCATTTATGATGCCCTCAAGCTGTCAGCAAAACTGTAATATTTGCCAAGGTTTTAGAAATGACTAGTGTTTCTCTTGTCCCTCAAACTTCTGATGATGCCTGACCCTCACAATCGTGACTTGGTTTTCTGGCGCCAAGCTCCCAACCTTATTTCCGGTGTCATCTGACAGACTCTTCTAATCAGAAGCAGTTGACTTTCAAATTGGACCATCAGCTTTAGCAGAAGATTAGATCAACAGCAGAGGATCTGTGAGCAGAAAGGCCACTTCTAGGACCTCTCAGGAACCTACCAGTTGAAGTGCCAACGTGGACCACTGGACACGCTTAACCAGTGTTTCATGTGTATAAAGTGTCTCACTGAGAGCTTCAGACTGTGTTCAGGTGACCACGGGTAATATAGAGCTAAGCAGCAAGCCTGCACTCAGGATTTCATAGTACAGCCCTATGCATTAAGTGCTCTCACAAAATCAGATTCAGAACCAAGTTCAGGTGTGGTGTCTGCGGCCTTACAGACTGTGATCTGTCCCACTGACCTTTCTCAGTTTGTAGAGAAGAGTAATCATTTGGCATCACAATCCTTCCTCATTATTGTATGACAATTTTACTCCGACATTTGCCAGATAAGGTTTTAAAATTTTGGTTCTCACGTCACGCTTTTGATTTCATATTATGTAAAAATGTCTCCGACATCTCTCATTTCCTGTCGTTTTACAACCCGCACTGACCTTTCATGTAATGGTGCTGTGCAAGGAAAAGTTTGGTATTCAGGATCCCTACTAAGGGAAAGGGAATGAGTGGGGAATCAGCATAAGTGGCTGTAAAGGCTTCTCCAACTGCACTGTGTTGCCTCAGGAACACCCTGCCATGTGCTGGCATCAGGCTGCCCGGGCTCCATGTGCATTTGCTCTTCACTGCTTCTGGCTGACCAGGCTCCATGTGCATTTGCCCTTCACTGCATCTGGCTGACCGGGCTCCATCTGCATTTGCTCTTCACTGCATCTGGCTGACCGGGCTCCATCTGCATTTGCTCTTCACTGCATCTGACTGAACGGGCTCCATGTGCATTTGCTCTTCACTGCATCTGACTGACTGGGCTCCATGTGAATTTGCTCTTCACTGCATCTGACTGGGTTCTGTATGAGTTTTCTCTTCACTGCATCTGACTGACCGGGCTCCGTGTGCATTTGCTCTTCACTGCATCTGACTGGGTTCTGTATGAGATTTCTCTTCACTGCATCTGACTGATTCTGTTCCGTGTGCATTTGCTCTCACGGCATCTGACTGATTGAGTTCGATGTGCATTTGCTCTTCACGGCATTTGACTGATTCTGTTCCGTGTGCATTTGCTCACATGGCATCTTACTGATTGAGTTCCATGTGCATTTGCTCTCACGGCATCTGACTGATTGAGTTCCGTGTGCATTTGCACTGAAGACATGAGCAAATGCACACGGAACTCAATCAGTCAGATGCATGAACTGATGCGATTATCCCGTGATAAAAGCGGGGTCTGGAGCTCACCAGTCCTCAGTTCTTTCCCGCAGCCGAGAACACAGAATGAAGGAGGGCGACAGCCAGCGAGAGCGGGAGATCCGGCAAAGGCACTGTCTCGGGGACTTGGTGACAGTCACGGCGATGGTGGTGGAGAAGCAGGAGCACCTCAGTCCGCAAGCTGAGTGGCCTGCCCTCCGCCATCCAGATGTCCCCCGGGGTGGCCGCTCCCTTCCCACCGACAAGCCTGGCCGCCCTGGCCACCACAGGGTCCGAGCCCGGGTGGTTAGCCGGTCCCCAGTCAAAAAGAAAAGCAAGTCTTCAGGGAGAAGCAAGTCTCCCGGGAGTAGGAGAAGCCGGAGTCCCCACCACTCAGCAGTCACTGTGAAGCAGGAACGTGAGGACCACCCCCGAAGAGGATGGGCGGATGGGCAGCACCGGGAACCCGCAGAACAGGAGCACAGGAGAGCTAGGGACAGTGACCCGGACAGACGGCACGGCCATTCCCACCGAAGGACAGCCTCGAAAAAGAGGCCCGGGCGCGGGCAGGTGCAGGATCGTGACATGCAGACCCCACAAGCTCAGGAGGAAGAGCGGGAGTGGTGTCACGCAACACGCCAGGAGCATTGCCAGAAGAAGGAAGCTCGTGGGACACGTGATGACTCTCCGGAGGTGTCCCCTCCACCTGGTGGCAACAATAAAGAAAAAGAGGTGCCCACTGAAGAAAAACCCAGGTCTGAGCTGTCTGGGGCACTTCTTGAAGACACCAACACGTTCAGGGGTGTAGTCATTAAGTATAGCGAGCCCCCGGAAGCACGTATCCCCAAAAGACGGTGGCGGCTCTACCCCTTTAAACACGATGAGGTTCTTCCCGTCCTGTGTGTCCATCGACAAAGCGCCTACCTGCTGGGTCGACATCGCCGCGTCGCAGACATTCCACTTGACCATCCCTCCTGCTCGAAGCAGCACGCGGTCTTCCAGTGTCGCCTTGTGCATTACACCCGTGCTGATGGCACTGCTGGCTGGGGGGTGAAGCCCTACATTATTGACCTCGGCTCAGGAAACGGAACATTCTTGAACAACAAACGTATTGAGCCACAGAGGTACTATGAGCTGAAAGAAAAGGATGTGCTTACATTTGGGTTCAGTAGCCGGGAGTATGTCTTACTCCATGAGTCATCGGACACTTCTGAGGTGGACAGAAACGAGGAGGACGTCTGCGAGGAGCAGTAAGTGTCCGACAGCTGGAAAACTAAGGAACCACCCAAACTGCCTGACACCTTTTCCTGCCTGGAAGGCTTTGGGATCAACCCAAAGGGCACTGTGGTGCTCTCTGTAATGCCACCTACTACCTTGTGGCATTCCCTTGTTGCGGACCCACTTATGTGATGTTTTAAGAACACTGACTTCTGTTTGGAACTTTTTTCTGTGGCACACCAGCCACACGCCTGTGGACATTTGTTTCAGAACAGTCTCAATTATAATGCACTGTGTTTTAGAAGAAGCATTGTGGATTCAGTTGCTTCCAGATCTGCTGCCTAGGAAACTACGAACCCTTGGTTAAAGGGGAATTGTGACTTGTTCTCTTTGTACACTTACTTTATTTATATACTTGTTAAGCTTGTGGACAAGGTGGTTTTGTTTGGGGGGCAAATCCCTGAGCACAGAATCTTATTAAGCTTTGGTTATCACCAACACACCCTCCAGTATATACCAAAGCTTTGATCTGGTACAGCTCAAGATTCATAGAAGCTGATTTCACACTTAGTTTTTTGGTAGGTGGAAATTTAATACATAACCTCATTATCGACTGTTTAACTTAAACAGATGCTTTATGGCACCTGCCAAAGCATCGGATGTATACGAAGATCATGGCTGCTCCCATAGGTGCTGATTTAATGTCACAAAGGCTGAAATGGGTTGTGGATCTATTTCCTATGAGAGGACTCCTGACTTCTATGGGGATCTTGTACATAACATTGACCATCTTATCTGTTATTAAATTTTTCATTTTTATTCAAATTTTATCTCCTGTTTTTCTTTGGGAAATACACTGG